CTCAAAGCACTGCTGTGCAACGCTGAGGCCGCAGTTTGTATTTGACAAGGTTTGACATTTGTTCACAGTACACTCTGCACAACTACCAAGAAAACGCAAGATCTGTGATTCATATTGTAAAGAAAGTATTGCCATTAAAGGCTGGACCAAACAGTTTTTGAACCAAACAGCAGAAAATGGCATCATATGTTAAGTAGAAGAACCTTTTGGGTTCATTCAGTGGTTACAATCAAAAAACAGATGGTAATCTGAGAATCTACATGGTTTCAAAGGAATTAAATGAAAATATCAAAAGAGAACATTTTAATCTGCCAACTTGAACAACACTGTGAAGCTGCTCTCTAATGGTGCAGCCAGACACTGGCAAATACCTCCTCAAGAGACAAGTTCCAAAATAAATTGTTTTGATTACATAGATTTTTCAGACTTCCTTTTAGCATATGTTCTATACAGAAGTGATCGATAAAATATTACTACATCAAATGTTCAAAGGAATTCCTTGTGCATGGAGTGCTAGCTTACTGATATAGGAGCCACTGCAAAGACATATGAAAAAAAGAATGTCACATATTAAAAATAGTAACAAAAAACTCTAAAATATGTTTAATAAAAAGCGCATTTTAAAACAGGAAAAATTCAACACAGGAATTGAGCTCTTTTCAAGGAAAAAGTATAATCCATCTTAAAAATATTTAAGAAACTTCAAGAATAAATATGCTGGTTTGCTGCACGATGACAATGTTGGAAATTTATCTCAGAAGTCTCTATTACATTGTGAGTGTGAATTCAGCATCATAGGTACAAATAAGTTCTTTATTGACAAAGAAAATTGGGTGACTGCCCAAAGAAATTTAGATACTTGTAGACCAAGTCATTTTCAATAACACAGTTGGAATGAAAAAGAATCTAATAAAGAATGGACATGCTGGAAGACAAGATGATTTAAAAATTCTCACCACATCACCGGTGCCAAAATATTCTTATGCAGAGCCATCAGAGTTTCCAGGGATGAAATACAAAATGTTCTGGGAGCCATGCAAACAGTATAAAAGACATTTTTCATCTGTAGATTTTGCCACAAGCCCATTAAGGTCTTAAAACATTGGCTTTAATAAAAGAAATTTTCAAGGGCTAAGTGCTGAGAGTTTAATGCCTTAGCGAGTAAGTGTTTACAGATTAAAAGCCTTGACTAAAACAAATAGGAATTCTTTGTCTCAATTTAGCAAGGAAGATTAAGTACACCTCTTTCAAGGATACAAAGACTGGCACTACATTTGCAGAAATGTACTTTGATATTGGAATATAGCCCAGATAGCAAGACATTATCAACAAATACACAACACGCATTTTTCTTCCTAACAAAGTGTTAAGTGTAAAGAAAGTACATGCGCAAAATTATTTATTTGCTCTCAAAAGATATGATGCACTATATAATGCAGTAAAACTGTCAATAGATTGCATTAAAAAACAAAACCCATAATAATAAACTACAAACCAGAAGTACAAGAACCGAAGTTAATTTAGGAGTAACACTTAAAACCGCATGGTATAATCTCTTCTGGCAAATTCTTCTACATGCGGTATACACAGTAGCATTGAAAAGAACAACCAAAAGTGACCTTCAGTATCACGGGACTAGCAACCGTGAGAATGGCTAGCAAGCAAAACGAGGAGAGAGGTAGAAAAAAAAACAATTAAGCCAACAGGTGAGATCAACCATTTCTTTACATTCTAAAGTGCTGAGACTGTCAGATACAAACTGTAATACACAGCAACACCAGAAAACAATTTTGTACTGTGAAGCACACAATAAGTAGGACTGTAACTACTGGCAGTGAATAGCAACTGAGTAGAACAGACAAGAAAGGCTTTCCTGAGAAATACAAGTTCTGTCTAATCTTTAGGTCCAGTAGTCCTTTCTAAGGAAAAAGAGCAGCCTGTCATATTATTTGGAATAACCAAATTTCTAACATACCTAGCACATGTATCTTGGTGGCATACAGTCACCACTCGTATTAGTCTCCTTCTCCCAGCACTGCTTAATGAATGCTACACTCTTTGTAACATTTTGTAAGCACTGGAGAGAATGAACTACATATGTAGTGTTAGACTAACAAGTTACAAAAGAACTTGATTGAGGAAGAGGAAAACAGCATTAGAAGACAAATAAAAATATTAGAGAAAAGCAAACGGAACAGCAACCTTATTTCACAGGGTCAGAGGGAGAAATCTGTTCAAAAAAACCTAACACAGAACGTGGGCAATTTACAGATTCATTCACTTGCCAGAAGAACCTGCTGCAAAATAATTATATCATTCCATATTGAATTGAGGGGCGGGAGAGGAGAGTAGTGGAAATCCTCTGTCACAGACAAAGCAAGACCCATGCAAATTTATTGCATGTCAGATCACCTTCTCAGAAAGGCATGCCTACCAGTTCAAATAAGGCAACAAACAAAATATACCGAAATCTGACAAAACAACGGGTACTTTTAAAGTGAAAATAGCACATGCCCATTCATGAAAGTCATCCTAAAGCCTCTTCTCAGGACACATTTTCCTAATCAACAAATCAAGATACTGTTGTGAATGCTCAAATCTTTGGCCATGTTAACTAAACAAACAAACAAAATTACTATAGCTAATAACTAGGGATTAAGAGATTATAAACATGAATGCATTGTGGTCTTACTATACAGTATCTTCCAAAACCAGGAAAAAAACAGAAGTTTGTTGAAGTTATTTTTATTGCATTAATCCTTACTTTTTTATCTACTTAATTTTGGAAGGGATCTCTTAGTTGACTACAGAAGAAGTTGCAATTTCTAGATTAAAAATGTAAAGCTTGAACTTGAAAATTCTAATGTGCTATTTTAGCAAAAAAAAAAAAAAAAATAAAAATATCAAGCAGCTGACCTAAGTAATTCTTGATTGTTAAAAATATTAATAAAGCAGCATACTGGGACCAACCATTCTATGACTCTATACTGATAAACTTTTGTTCTTTCGAATCATCTGCTTTTTATTCTTCATGTTTATCTTTTCTCATTATAAAGACAAACTTTCAAGCTCTGATTCAGACCATGATTCATGGGAGAATGGGCTCTCAACACAGAACAGAAACCCACACAAGTTTCTGCAGATTTGGATTAATAATATCTTGCGTCAGTTTGACATAAACGATTTGGGAAAGGTAAAGGCAAAAAGCAGCTACCACTACTTGAGCCAATTTTAACTCCACTGTTAAATATAGCCCACTGAACAATATCCCCCTTACCTGATAATAACTAAATAACTAAAATTTTACCTGGCCCTTACATAGACATATATCACCCACAAAGCAGTTTTCCTGATAATTTTAGAATTTTTTCTTGATATCTTTTTTACCTCTACCTAAACAAAAGTCCAGTATTTTTATTTGTGTATTTTACACTCTCTGTTAACATGCTACTTTGCACTTGTGACAAGGCAACAAAAAGGCCCCAACAGCCACTCATGCACCATTTCTCTGTGCAGGTGCTCCTTCCCAAATTTACACCTGTTCAGTCAAGTTTGATCTTCTAGAAAAGTTTGCAGTACGGAGCATACCATAAATCTAATACTGTATTTGTATTAGATAACGAGATTCATGTAATTTGTATGAAGTGTCAAATGTATGATTTACAGATACAGCATCATTTTCAGAAATGTTGTGAAATAGAGTAAGGTAGAAGTAAGGAAAAACATTCAAGTAGATGTAAGATATGTAAGGAAACCAGTCCAGTAACCATCATGAGTGTGAGACTAGCTCATACTAAAGGAAGATAAAAAGAAAATTAGAGACCACAGATTACAAAACAGTACTGGTCTTCGCTCTATGTCTTCTCTGCAGGGAGGGACAGAGATTTTTAAATAACACGACCAAGGACACAGCACTAGAAACCCTCTAGGGAACATGAACCCTTGGACAGGGTGTTAACATTTTAATGACGAGTTTTAAAGTCTAATGCGAATATGTTTATAATACATATATTATCCTTGTCTTGACAGACTACAGAAACCTACTTTATGTTCAGTTCTTGTCTATTAACAAATTTATTTGTAAGTTATCTAAATCTAATTAGCTGCTGTATTTAGGAAGGGAAATTAATATACCAGACTATAGCAATGATCCTAACACAGCTACACAACCTTTGTAGTTTTAGGACTCCCTAAGATCATCTATTACAGGTTTGCACTATACAGCCCATAACAACCTGTTCCATTACAGTAACAAATGCACTGCCATGAAAAAAGGCCCCTGAAGTTAACTAGTTATAAGCCTTATGGGAAACACCAGGAACGCAGAAAATGGCATTCAGTCTCAATCTCACTCATACTCTTAGAAGAATCATCCATTATGTTCTCTCTTGCTTTCTGCTTTTAGGGTTCTCAAAAGCTCTAGAATTGCAACTGCCAAATACACCTTTACTGGAAAAAACACACTAAACTTTAGTTAAAGAAATTAACGTACCTGAAAATTGTTTTAAAAGTTACACTTCGTATTATCGTTCTTGGTTTTACTCTCAACTCAGAGACATGGTTTTTAAACTGTGTTACATAATTATGATGCACACTTCCCTATATATATATATATATACACACATATTTTTTAAGATAGAATGTCTGCAATTAGCATAGCAATAGATTAAGTCTGTGGAAGCTAGCACACACATCATTCACAATGTGAGGTGTCACAGCAAGAGCAGAGAACATGCCAGAGAAATACAGAAATAAATCTCAACTGTCCACTCTGCTTCATTTTAATGTTCCCCTTTACATAAGAATTGATTGTGTAAATAGCGAAGTTTATACAAAAAATATAAATATTTACTAGTTGTGTCAGATATTAGATCTTTTCTAATATATTTTCTAATATATGAGTAAAATATTTCCTAGGACTGATCATTATGCAATAGTTATCTTGTAAGCATTTTATTTTTATTATTTTCATAACTAATAAATGCAGCATCAATACTTACCTGCAATTTCTTCTATGGAATTAGCTCTCATGTCCAAAAGGACTGTGCCATTCAGGATACAGCTCCTCAGCTCAAACAAGCTATGAAGTGACAGCGTGGCAACATAGGGCTTGCTCCACCTCTCTCCACCATCCTCTACATCTTCTTCAAACTTCAACCACCTGTACAAACAACCAATTTTATAACTCCGTTGCTCATAAGAAATTAAGTATCAATTACTTCTACGGATATTGAAAGATCACTGTTAAATGTGTTTGAATTTCACTTTATTCTTCCTTTGTAGGAAATACTAGAATCTTCCCTTGTCTGGTTCTTCCTATATAATGCTGTATTATACCATTTTTGAAGATAAATTCTGATCACACAGATTAAAAGAGAAGCATATTAAGTAATTATTACTGTATTTTACAGAAAATTTGAGCAAATCTTTGGCGTACAATGATATTTCTATAATAAAACAAGTAGTATGAAAAAAATTGAGAATTTCTGGTAGAGAAAAAGAAAAGCTATACATCATCAGAACACAGGATAGAACTTTCTCCAGTTAGTCTTCATTTTGGACTAAACATAACAAAGAGACATATTTCATTTAAAGTAAACATACTGACATATTCACACTTCACAGAATTGCATCCAGTACCATCACCACAAAAGCCTATTATGAACTTGTTTTAAGTTGTTAGTTACTTACCTGCACTAAGCTAATCATAAAGGCAGTTTAAACGTGCAAAATTTAGGCTACTTTTCGCGTAAAAGCTAATTAAAATGAAAAACCTCACAGGCACATACAAGTACACACAAGCAATGTGTAAACACTTGTGAAGTCTTTCAAGCCCCAATTAAGGCCTTATTAAGGTAAAACAGTCACATGAATGGCATGAAATATCACTTCAGACACCAATAATATCATATCTCACTATTCTGAGTCTCGTTCTCCTGTTCTCAGGTTCCATGTAAATCTGCAGAGACAACATGAAACTGGCATGAGAGGATCAAGTCTTTTTTTACTAGCCAGCTGGATGAATTTCTTGCATGACTTTTTAATTTTTTACTAATTGAAATTACACTAAAATGATAAAAGAATACTAAACAAACAAAAAAAAAAGAAAGAAGAAAAGTCTGTTAACATATGCAAAAATGTTTTAAATTAAAGTTATTAAGTCTTTCAAGCATACACAGATGTTGCTGTGTGAAGCCATACAGCCTGCCAGCTTGGCAAGGTCTGAACAGCTACAGCCACAGCACAAGTCACTTGACACAATAGCACGCAGCTATTTCATATGGACCAGGCAGCAGAGGAGCCAAGCTGAGCCTCACACCTTGACAGCACCTTCACACTTACTTCCAGACAGCAGGGAAGTACAGAGCCTTAGGACCTCTGAAGCTAAGCAATTTCCAGTTTTACCAAGCAGCCCAGTAACACACCAAACACAACTGGCCTCTTCTGTTCCCAGCCCACCCGCCTATCTCTGCTCCTACTTGTTAAATATGCCCGTGTACATGTACTCTAGACAATTCTCTCCTTTCAGTCCCTGTGTATCAGACTCTTCCCCTCCTGAGGCCACCCTGCGAGCAACCAATACTTCAGTGACCCCACTCATCATCAGCATATAGGCTCCATTCCTGATGCATTCCATTTCTTCTAACTGTACAGAACATGAAGTTGGAGACTTTAACATGATCTATTTTATAGTCTTTTCTGTCTGCAGCAAAGAGCTGGAGTATACATTCAAAACCCGCTCAAGAGTCAACGTATAAATGTAATCTTACAATCTCCACATGAGTTTTGCCTTCCTATCCCAATTTGAAAATAAACAAGCATATCAGAGACAAAACAGAAGTGACAAACCTAAGTTTTTTGTGACTTAATATCTTTGAAGAATGTTCTGATCCAGTGAAGATGCATTTTCACTTCATAGTTTTTCCCTAGTACATCCATTTATTCTCACTAATAAGTTACTTTCTAACTATGGACAGAGGTTTATTTTCATTAAAACTCAAGCCTAAACACTTTCCTGTTGGTTCCAAAGTGTCTTTCTATTTTCCTTCCTACAATACATTCTTTTCTTTTCCAGAAACATAGCGATATTCTCCCTAAAATTTTCATTTTATATTAGCAGATGAGTCTTAACAGTTTGGGTAAAACTTGCCACAAACCAGGCACTATTTTCCAGCCACGATCACAAGAGGTTATTAGGATAGATTTTAACATGAACTTCTTTCCTAACAGCTGCAATCTGCAACTATACTATTGTGTGTATAAAGTACAACTGGTTTGCGTCAATGTGCTGCTCTACAAGCTTACTGGAGATATTTTTTTCAGAACAGAAACATCATGCATTCTTCACACAAAAAATATTAAAACTGATTTTTATTGATTTTAAAAGAATGTTTCTTCTGGCTTGAAATCAATTAATGGGGGAAAAAATAGTAAATTTTATCACTGTGTCCACATAACTACGTCATTCCATGGATAGGAAAGCCTAAAACAGATCCTGGAATGGAACAGGCTGCAACAGCAGTGCACTTTTTCTTGTTCTTACTAATTAATCTGCAGGAATGCTTTTGCTCATGAGAGATGTTGAGGGTTAGGGGGGGAAACCACCAAGCTTCGGTTAAATCCTATCCATGGTTCCCTTTGATATGTTACTATTTTGATCAAATAAGAACAAAACATCCCAAGTATCTTGAGCAAAAAGCATAAAACCATTTTTTAAAAATTGTAAACCTGAACTGTTTGTGCACTTTCAATCAGACAGAAAATACGAAGATGCGGATTTACTGCATCAGAGTGAACCCACCCCTTCAGTCCATGCAGAGCTTAGTGAAATGAATACAGAATTACTTAGTGCCATCATTCTCATTAAAGACAATTAATGACCTCTATCCTTTGAATTTTAATTCATCTACATGGCATTATGTCCAATGCTAGACAATAAGATTAACAAATACTGCTAGTGGCATTTTTCACACAGGTGGAAAACATGTAATAAGGCTGGAAGAGCAACAAAGGGTGCATCCTTTCCATGCCATGCTTTTAATCAAATTAGTACCTTAGAAATCCTGAATCAACCACTGAAATTGAAAGGGATCCAGTGTATTAGTTTCTAAGTATATGATCTTGCATATTGAACACTGTCCCATTTCTATTACTCAAAGTCTCTTTGCTCTTTGTGTATGATATCCTTATTTCTAGAGTAACAATACCTCCTGATTTCTTATCATCGGCAAGTTTCATTACTACAGTCCTAGTTTTGTCATTCAAGAATAAAGCTATTTATAAAGACTAATTCTTCAGAAGTTAGTTGTCACTACCTTGCACACCAATAGTTTTTAATCTTTCAGCATGACCTACTGCACCTGTTCAGTTAGTTCCTTACCCACTAATACAATTTTACACTAGAACAGTTTAAGTAATAAATTCCCACTGCTGTATCATATCAAATACTTCACTAAAATAAAGATCCACTGTTTCTTTGTCAGAAAAACAAAAATTAATTCTCTGATTAAACAGCATTATTGTTAGTCTGACATGATACACCACTGTACTGCATTTGATCCAATTTTCCAGTTAGCTACAAGTCTACAATTATTATTTCCTTCACATATTGCTCTAAGCCCTGCATAGCTCCAAAATCTGTTCATCCCAACCAATTTTATCTTTTTTTGAACAGTGCTGCTGCATTTGTAGTACAACAATGCACCCGAGAGATTCACAGGAAGACAGGATTTACCATATCCATGAAATACATGTTCTTTCATCTCTCTAGGATGGAAATTATTGCACACTCTTATTTGCACAGATAAAGCACTTCGACTCTTGTTTCAGTTTTGAATTTGGTCATTTCACTGCCATCTCTTCCTGTTCTAACAGCCAGCCACCCCACGTCAAATGCTGTCTGCAATTTTTGGATCCAAAGTGAAGATCATTTATCAGTTCCTTCTGCATGGCAACCAAACTCTTTATTTTCATCTTATTTCTAAAGTTAAAGAAATTTTTAGTATTAGCTATTATACTTCACTTTTGTATTTTCTGAATATAGTTTTCTTGGCTGTGCTTTGATGTCCTTTTTCAACAATCTCATCTTGCTCCTGTTAAACATTTTTGATTCTTTAGTTCCCAAACGACAACTGGAAAGGCTGTACATAGAGACAGATCAAACCGTTTATATAGACAGAAAACCCTTTATTTCACCTATTCCTTTCAAATTCTATCTTATTTATGTTAATAAAAATTGTTCTCATTTTTCAGAAACACAATTCTGCAAAGGATTTTTTTTTTTTAGCTGAACTAAAGAAGCTTTTTCCCTACCTAAAACTAACCTAAGCCATGGTGATTTTTATTTTTAATCACAGTAGAAGCTGATACCCTTCTTGGAAGGTTCTATATATTCTTAATCAGTATGAGAACACTGCAGATGATTAACTTGAATAGATTTACTCTCTCTGAATATTAATAAGATTAGTTAGGAACATTACTACATTAATTTTGCAGCACAACCCCCATATGAGAATTTTGTACATGTTAAGATCTATATTTAGCATCTGTCTATGCCTCTTATAGACAGATAAGGAAAGTGAAGGTCATAGAAAATTCTGTGTCCCTCTTGGAAACCTGGAATTTGCAGTAAAACTAAAGGGAAGCTAACAGCCATATTCATTCTAAGCAGCCCACATATGTAGCTCCTCACAAAATCAAAAAAAGGGGGAGGGGAGAGGAAATAAAAACCTCATACAACCAGAAGAAAAAAAAAAAAAACAAAATAACCCAACATTGAATACTCAAAGTCCCAAAATCAACTGTTCATTGATAGCTAGAATATGTAAAAATTTTATTGCTCCAAAGTAATCTCATTCCTCACTTCAATCTTTTTATAATGGTAACTTTATCTGCTTCTTGAGGATTCAAACAGAATACAAAGTTTGAAAGTTTCTCAAAATGATGAGCTAAAATATTAATAAAATCACTAATTTTTAATTTATATATACAGATGATATGTTTACTTTGATATTTTTTCCCCTTGATATTCACTCTGACCTATATTTCATAAATCCAGATCAAAACATTTGGCTCTGGGAAACAACAAATACAGTTGTAATACTAGCAGTCCAAGGATTAAAATTATGGTTTTATTTAAGCTTTATACCCAAAATCTGTTCCTGATCTCACCACAGCTTTCAAATCATTCTTCAATATGCCAGCAACCAATAGCTACAGATAATTTTTAAAAACTCACGAGAACACTCACCTTGCTGTCTCCCTCCACTCCGCATCCTCTCCTTCACGCCAACAAATTTCATCAAGCTCAGTAAAAAGATCATGAGGAATGTGTTCCTCATCATCGTCTTCTGTACCCAGAATAAACTGCACCCTTTGTGATGGGGTATCTGGGGAAAAACAAAAATATAAACTCCAGAACACCATTTTTACTTTTCCAAGCAAGCAAATATTTAAAATTTCATGAGATTATCACTTAGTGCCACACAGAAAATATGATTATAGTTATACTGTAAAAATATTCATATACAAACACCTTCAGACTGAGGCCTCTTTATTTATCATAGTTGTCTAGTCTGCTAATTAAACAATCTCATCTAAAGATAGAATGTGATGTACAGAAATAGTGATTATTGGAACCTGGAATGTTATCTCACAGAAAATAGCACAGACAGCAGCATAGATGTTGCTGATAAAACTATTTTACTCCAGTGTTACAACTACTCTGCCACATCTTAAGTCTAAATCTACAGATCCAGCTGAGCTCACAAAGCTGGTATACTAAATGTACATTCTTTGTTTTACCTTTTCTGCAGAAAGAAACCGGAAAAAAGCTCTATAATGTCAATATACACTGGGAAGTTCAACAAGAATACATCACCATCTACACACCTACCACTCCCTGCCCCTTTGTAAACTGTTTCTACATGGTTAGGCTGTTACAAATGAAGAAGTCGTTTATCTGTCCCAATTTCTCTATTTTACTCTTCCTATCTCAGTCTTCTCTTTGCTAGTTATTTTTCTTCATAACCTTTCAGTGCAAAACACTAAATGCATTTTAGAGAAATACTATTTGTTTTTCACATCACTCAGAAAATTTCCAGAACTCAAAAGGTACCTTAACATACACGTATATTCAGTGTTCATAGCTCAAATTCTGTAAGGCTCTTTAAGAAAAATAAATCCTATTTGTTTATTTAGATGTAAATCTCAAATGAACAAGCTCCGGAGGAAATCCAGTCTCTCTGAAAATACACAGTTCTTTTTTCTGATAATGTATTTTGTATTTCTAAGAGGAACCAAAAGCCCTTTGTAAGAGCTGATAGGGTCCAGGCTGCCAGTCAACTGAAAAATTGATTATCCAGCAGAACAGCTCAGCGATTCCTTGAACACTCTCTAAATGAAGTTCTGTTCTACAACTGTATTTGTATGACAACCTACAGTATTTTCCATATACCAGTGATGAGCATCAACGCATAGGATCCTCAAGCTCACTGAATTTTGGAAAAACTGAGATAATAGACTCACCAAATGCTAGCTGAAGGGCAAATACAGCTCTAATCAAAAATAATTAAATGGGCAACCGATTCAGAAGATTAAATTCAGCAGTACAGATACCTTTTTTGGTAGCAGTAAATTTGCTATAGCAAAAAAATACAAACAGTACCTGACAGTTTTCACGTAAGGTCTATTTGCTTAAGCAGAGTGTAAAGATATGGTATGGTCTAGGCTACTTACTCCTTCACAAAGCAAGGAAATGAAACCCAGGAAGAAATACTGGAGAGAAAGGAGAGAAAGACAAGCTCAGATACTACTAAGCTTTAGGGGATGGAACTGCAGGAGGACAGGCAAGAGGACAGAAATCACTAGTGGTGAAGCATTGAAGAATACCCTTTCTTTTGTTACTCTCTCTCTTACTCTTCAGTCCTCTCTTTTCTTTAAGGCCATTTCAACCTCTATTCTAGACCCCCTCCAGCCTCTCTTTACATATTTCTGTTTACTTGGGGATTTTTTTAATTCTTTATGTTCTTGATATCCACATGTTGGTATGTTCTAGAGAAGGATAACGTAAACACAAACATCAAGATTTAATCCGAGACTAGATAGCATATTCTGGTCAAGAAGGGTGCAACTTGTTAAGATTATTTCCCAAAAGGAAAAAATTCAGTGACATACGAACTTGCAAAGGGCAAGTGCACATGACAAGTAACAGAACATGGAGAACAAGCTGCTCTGGTAGAGAGCTGGACTGCAGTGAGAATCTGAGAATAAGCATTGCCAGGAACATCCTGTACTCTTGATAAAATCAGCACTAGAACTGATTTAGAGCAACAGCTACTATTAAATAATAAATGAGTAGTGCTATACAGCAGAGCTGCAGTTTTATGAAAGTTATGATACTCATACAAATGCACACTTTCAGCGTGGCAAAGAAAGCAGAGGATCAGAAATCTCTTGAAGTCAGGTGAGCAGTAACAAGGAAACATGTTACTGCTGTGACCTGTTCTTACCAGGTCTTCTGTGTAACACAGCTACTTCACTGACAACAGTGAAGAATCCATATATGAAGCCATATAAGAAGCCATATATGTTAATCCATATATGAAGCCATATAAGAAGCCATATATGTTAATCCATATATGAAGCCATATAAGAAGCCATATATGTTAATCCATATATGAAGCCATATAAGAAGCCATATATGTTAAAATATGCACTAAATTATTTTCATCCTCTCTAAGACAAGAGTAAAACTAGCTTGTAGATTCTGGCTAACTTTCTTTGCTGCTGTAATTTGTACTGTTGTCTGAAACCTGTAAACCATAGGTGGAGTTTCAGATGCCAAGCTGGGGGGGGGGGGGGGGGGGAAGAACCTATTGTTTGCTTCATAGTACAATAATTTTATTTCAAGGGCAAACCCCTAAGAAAATTAAACAATAGGAAAACAATAAAATTAAAAAAGAAAATCTGTTGGTTCCACTTGTAAAACTGAGTTAACAGGATTACTCACGTGAGCAATGCCAGATGGATTTGGCTCTTATTCATCAGAGTAATAAATACCAAATATGTCATTAATGTATTATATGGAAAATGAGTAATCTATGATTCAAAAACAGAATGAAAGAATACTTCAATTGCTGACTGTCAAACTATGATAACTTAATCCACAATCTAGAAGCATAATATCTGCAATTTAGGACACTCAATGTTTTTGAAGTCTGGGAAAACAGAAATCAGCCTGAATACTACCTGTGTCTATCCCTATTTCAAGCAGTACAGCCAACATTAAAAAAATCCTTTATATTATTATTGCTATTTCTAAAAAACAATGAAAGTAATCTAGATTAAGCTAAAAAAATAAAAATAAAATAAATTAATGGTACTCATTTGTTACATTAGTATTTCTATAACTGCAGTTATTTTATATCAGAGCACAGATGTATTAGAAGCAATTAGAACTCGAGTTCCACAGAAAGCAGCTGCTGATTCTCCCAAGTAAATGGCCCATCACCAGCTCAGGAAATCCTCCAGGATCAGCTGGGACTGGGCACAAAGTCTGGTACATGACAGGAGCAGGAGTACCACCAACAACAACCAATGCTTGGCTAATGAGCAATCTCAGTAAGGAAAAGCCAAAGCAGCTTCTGTTTGCTGTGGCTCCACAATGGGAGCCTCCTGCCAGACTCTGTGTTCCTCTGGGCTTGCACCCACATCGTATGTGTAGCACTCACACAGATAACAAAACTACCTCTGATACATCAATTTCATTGCCTGCATAGAAAACCTGAATATTTTAGTTTTAAAAATCTGTATAACTACTGCATTGTCAAAAGGGTAAAAATTAAGGCCTGGTGCATAAGCTCTTGTCAAAAGCACAAATTCACACTGGAGTTCAGAGCCGCAGAAAAGTGACTCTGCAGCAACCTGACATACTGCTCACTACACAGGCTCTTTGTAAAGTCATTAGCAACTCTAAAACGAAAGCAAGATATGGGCACAGACATACCAAAACAGCTGAACTGAAAGCCAGAAATGCTAGTAAGCTGACTCCCAGAGGGCAACACAATGAGCTGCTCCCTGGAACAGCGCTGTATGCAGGTAGCGGGAACAGTGGCCTATATCACCATCACACCTTGCAGAAGACAGGTAGGAAAGAACCATAACTGCCCTTTTCTCCTTTAACATATCCCCAGGTGCAACCACAATTCTGGGTCAGGACTGCTCCCTCTTGCCCAACAGAACAAGGTTTCTGAGATAAGACAGCAGGATCATTCTCTGCCCCTCCACATAAATGCATCCCAGCAAACAACCTGCTCCATTGCACCAGAGTGAGCCACATCTCCTCCTCAGCGAACACCAGGATTTCCCATGAGACAAACCACCCTGCCATCAGTCAGAACTGCACACAATCTGTCCAAGCCATACCACAATAAAAAACACATGGAAAATGTATTGAATTTATATTACAGAAGTTCACACAAGGTAGCAAACATCATAGATAAAATGGAAGGAAGTATTCCCTTGCTTCCTCCTTTGCGACTTCAGCCCTATATGTATAATCTTGTTTCAGGAAGCTCTCTCTGCATTTTCTTCCCATTAATTGTTTCCATCACATCAAGGCTACGACAAATAATCTTATATTTTGGATCTGACAATACGGGCAATTCCCAAGCTTCAATTATCATCTGAAGCATAACTGAAGTTATGGTACTTTATATTAATCCAGATTTCCTGCAATCTGTTCCACAGCTGCCCAAAGATTCAAATTTCTAATTCCATTGTTCAGCAGACAAAGCCTATATAGTTAAGGTTAGGAGTTTCTCTTAACAGCCCTATTCTTTACAAATAATTCAATTTGCACCATTAATACCCCTTCAACATTTGAGGTTAGGTACCAAATTGCCAGCGGAGTCCTTTTATTACGCTTTCTTCAAGCCCCTCTAGTAACCAAGAGAAGTTCCCCTTTGCAATTCATTTTTATTTGCATTACCTTCAAAGAGCCTTTTCTGAACCGTGTGTGCAGTCTTCTGTTAGCATCACCTCCAGAGCTGCTCAGCTTCCCTTGCCACATCCAATAGCATGAATTACAAATTTAAGCCTATTTAAAACTAGAGATTATTAAAGCCAGATTTCTTAACAGAACAAACCAAACCTTGCAAAAGCCCCAACAGTATCTAGTCCTAGAAAACACCACAGGAGAATGAAATCAAACCCCAGTATCCACAGCTGTGTTCACTTCACTCTTACAAAACCTGTCCTTAAAGACACCCTGCTGAGAGCTAAAGTCTTCCTTTTCCAGCCCATTTTAAAACAGAAACATATCTTTAACTCATGAGCGGAAGTACATGAGCAGTTTCACTGATTACAGGCAAAATAACCAGACATCAAGAAAATACTGAATATTGCCACTAAAATCCACACGCATACTGAGCAAGTGCAACCTAACCAGCCAAAGGGAAATCTATTGCAGAATTTCAGCACCGCCATGACCCATAGCACTGACAGAGCAGTCCCAGGCAGCTCGTGGCCATGCAGCCCACCAGGGCTGGCACGCATTGCCCTTCCAACAAGATGCACAAGGAGCTACTCTAGACTAGAAACAGCTTCTTTTTTTTTTTTTTTTGCCAAACTAGTTTTAATTTATATCAACTCCCTAATTCACAGAGCAGTTGAAACACTTGAGCCATGCAAAAAGCTGTGGAGGAGGGGAGCTTAAAGAGGCCATGAAACTGGGTCTTTAATTACAACAGCAGCATTTCAGCTGGAAACAGTAAACCTCTTCAATAAAGCAAACAGTGTTACTGCATTTTTAACCAGAGTGGTAATTTCACTGGATTTCTCTTTTTCTTCCAAAAAATTGTAAGGCAAGTTGGTGGAAATCCAGAATAATGAAATCACTTCGCTTTCAATTTTTACTACCCAAAAAAGCCTCTCCATGAGCAAGCCATGTAATCTGCAAATCACGTGATTCAAAGACACATTGTTATGGCAAAATGGAAACATCTTGCACAACCTCATCTCATCAGGAGGCAACAGACAGACAACAAGAATCAGGTGTGGTGGAAACAGAAATAAAACTTGAGTAACTGATCTGTGCCCCCAAAGGGCACATTACCTATATATTCTTTGTATTATTTGTCTACAAGCTCTGAATCTAAGAGAACACTGAGAATACTCAAGGTACCTTTGAAAAGTGACAGTAGGAGATCAAGAAAAAGCTTATGAGCTGCCGTCAGAATGTTCTAAAAAATCTGTTCTCTGCAAACACTATCTCAGGAAGTAGCTGGTACAGCTTTTCCAGACAGGACTCAAAGAAAGTGACACGAAGCTTCCAGCCGTGGGCATTACACTGAATACAGGGGTTTTCTAGCCATGCTGATGCAAAGAAAACTGTTTAAGAAATTGTTTTTCACTGGGTAGGAACCTGGTGGCACTTGTCCACTGAGTGGGGCCTGCACAGTCTCACAGCACTATGTACTGCACAGCTAATTGAAGCAGTAACAGCAGAGCAAGATCTGCACCTAATGGTACTTCACAGATGAAGTTATAACTTACAAAGTTATAGATTATGACAAAAAATAATGCTTCGCCCCATGCTTGGTTAACTGAGCAGTCTGGAGCACTTCATGTCTGAATATTTCAGGCCTTTACTTGTTCCAGCATCTCTATTATTCAGTTGGTGCATCGTTTATTATAGCTCCTTTCATACTTCACTGCTTCAAAACACTGCTAATTTATTCTCTTGTACGTAGAAATCCAATTTATTTTTCTGACTTATCTCAAGCACGGCTTTCTATCAGCTGCGCCCACAATGCTTATTTTCTCTGTCTTTATTCTTGTACCTGCTCATTGAAACATTTTCTTTCCCTTCCTCCCTCTCAGTTCTCAAGAATACAGCCTCCTACCATTCAACAGAAATATGTTAAAAGGCATCTAGAGAAGAGGCAGCTAAGCATTTCTGCGTGTTCAATTAAATCAGAATGATTCACAAATTAAGGGAATATTTTGGATCCGATCTCTTAGGTAGCAGTACCTCACAGTAAGTTATGCATCAAGAGTAAGAAGTGCATTTGTCTTCCTTGCAACTTCCTTCAGCCTCTGGATACTGATATAACCTTGTGGTCACTGGGAGATGAGAGCTAAGAAGCATTACTGAGGTTTAGTGGATTCAGATTTAGCGTGAGAAGTATCTGTTGCTCCCTCTGAGTAAATAAAAGCATAGAAAAACTATGTTTATATTCTCTTGAAAGGAAATGCTTTTCCCCAGGCAGCACAACCACCTATTTGAAACTCCTGTAAGGAAAATTCACTGTAAAATCAAGGATGTGGATATAGACTATGATTAATCCCTGTATAATTTTGTCTGTCTGTTTGCTCTGTGTTCAACCCCTCCATCACTGTATAACTGTCAGATTTACCTTCGTAAGACAAATCCCTTCCACTGCTGTCTATGCGATGCCACATTTCTGCCTGGCTGGACAGAAGTCAACACTCAAAGTCTGGGTCTCTGGCCAGTCAGTCAAAGGAAAAAACCCTCAAATTTCTCTAAATAGATATTATTTCAGGGTGGAAAAATTGGATACTCCCAGACCTTTCTGAATGTTTGGTAGTTCTGTATTTGGCTTGTTATCACCCAAGTATTTTGCAGAGTATCTTCAGCATTCTGGATCCAGAGATTACTTCTATATCTTATGTGTCCTGGGCTTTTTTATAAAAATAATGATTTATGTTACCTACACACCGCTTAATTCATAGCTGTAATACCTTTACAAGTGAAAATGTGACTTGCAAAAGTGCATTCCTGTTACTTCAAACAAGTACGGCTGTAGAAAAGTGATGTGAACAACATTTTACAAATGCACTTCAAAATGCACTTGCATTTTGCTCACAAATGCTCATTGGAGCATTCTTGAACATAGGTTGATTTCAACAACACAGAGCTGCGTTGATCGGTGCATTTTATTGCACAACTGCCAAAAGACTATTAAGGACACATTCAATCAGGTTTGGGGTTTCGGGCATTTTTGGGTTGCTTTTTTTTTTTGCCTTGGGCCTTTTTTTTTTTTATTTTGACATTAGGAAGGACACAAGCCTAGGTCTCCAGAAGTAGAAAGAACAGAGCTAAGTTCTCAGCCAAAATGTGTCACATACTGGCACTTAAATAAAACCAGATGACTTAACATAAGACATTGCTTCATAGTTTAAGATATCTCACTTCTTGTCTAATGTAACTTTCAATTGTTTCTTTTCAATCTGACATTATATGTATATATGCATATTCTTTTTGAAAACTATTTTAATAATTTATGAACTTTGCTGTTTTACAAGAAACTGGATTCAGTACACTATTGGGTCTTTGTAAATTCAAAATACATTCCAGACAGAAACACCACAGCCAGTATCTACTGAGCCTGAAAAAGGCTTGACTTTGTTTCATTCTCTGTAACCATCAGCACTTATAATCTACTTGCTCCAGATCTTTCTACATACATAATACAAATTTCAGATTAAAATGAAGTCTTATCATTACTATTCTGTAACTTGACATTATATTGGCACATTTCCCTAATGATTTAAAAACATTCTTCTGTTGTACACTGACAAATTGTTTTCTATATAGATTTCTACTATACTTTCAACAGTTACTGGATATTTCAGCACATGGGCTTTTTATTTTTGAACAGCAAATAATATTCGCACATGTTTTGAAACAAAGCTTGACTAATTTATTCATTACTACCTTTTTCTGTTCTCTGTAATGTTTTTTAATTTAAAATTTTGAGAATTTTAGGAGTTTTGTATGAGGTTTGTTAATGGAAAAGTATTTTTTCCTGTTTGATCTCAAGTCCTCAGCAGACTCATCTCACAATGGCACATTATGGTGTCATGTAAGGAAAAGGCAAACACAATCTGGATCATAGTTCACATCTGATAAAACACTGCAGCTTCAGTAACATGGACATTATTACAAAACTAAGTCTAAAGAACCACCACTCCAGCATCCAGCACATTATGGTTTTAGAGGCAAATACTCCAGAGCCTTCACTGAGGGCAGCTGGTGCCATAAAGTGCTCAGTCCTTCTCAATGGTGGTGGAAGTCTACCTTTATGAGAACACTTATGGACTGTCTCCTACAGTCGTAGAAATTACTGAGATTTCTCATGTACTGACTGTCACTGTCTGCTGTTCTTCGTGAGAGGAATAAATCTTGGCTCTCCATCAGAGACTGGAGAGGCTCTGGTGGGTTCTCCAAAACCCCACTGCTAATGGTACTCAAGATGTAACAGGGTAAAGTATGCATAATCAATACTGATGTTTATTATTAAAAGATCTATGCAAAGATAAAATTTATCTTACCAAACGGAGGAGACTCTCTCCCATCTTCTAATCCTGAATCTCGCTCTCTGTCTCTCTTTCTGTGTTTATGCCCACGGTGCCTATGGCGTCGGTGACTTTTTCTTCCACCCAGTGGCACATGAACTCCAATGAACAATGTTCGATGGCCTATGGGGAAAATAAAATTACGTTTTAAAAAGTGGCTGTGGCAACATAATAACAATATTAATAACCATAATAGCATTAGTGGTATAATAATCATTAGAACTGCTTAATCATATAATATTGATTATTCTAATGTCATAACGTTATTGACTACAGTAATGATGATGCAGTGGCACATGTATACAATCCCTTGATAGAGGTCATGCTTGATACAATCCTTATGATGCAGTGTCAGATTTTTAAAGTTTTTTCTTCAAATTTGCATTTCTGTGTGTGAACTTTCATTAAAGCTAGACAGGTGTTCTGTAAAATGTCTTCCAAAACAGTAACATGAAGAGACACATGGATCTCTCTGCGTTGAACATTTGGTGAAGTTGCTGTTTGCTTTGTGTGTACAGGAACTTTACAAAACTCACTGCTATTTATGAGCCAAACCTTGACAGAATTCTTGTGGGAAATTAACCGAAGGGAAAAGAAAAAAGAAAAAAAAAGAACAGAAAAAAAAAAAGATTACTTAAAAAAAAAAATAAAACACTCTGAAAGCTAGACTGCAAAATCCCCATACAATTTTATGCACTCACTTAACAAATACATTGCTGGTAGCTTAGGGTGCTTTCGTTTCTTTTATTTCTTAAGATACATAAGAAGGTATATTGCCATGCCTACCACCATCTTTGAGCCTGAGGAATTTTATGTTGCTGATCAAGCCCAAAAGATTTAGCTCTTAGCTATATGGGATAACAGGATCAGAGCACAGTAAATCATTTAGGAGGGGGAGAGCAGAAGGGAAGCAAGCACAAAGTACCACAAAACAGAACAAATGGGAAAGGAATCATGACTCAACACAGGCAAGTCTCCTACAGTTACTCAGCAGAAAGACACAGTCCAGATTACTCATCTCAAATAACATTTATTTTCTCCTTGAAATAAGCATAACACAGCTAGCAGATAATTGCTGCTTTGCTGTAATCATTCAGCAGTGTCAATCATCTGAGAAAGGTCAAGAACATTAAGCTAAGGTAGCATGTGATCTCTAATCCCATGGAGACTCCAGCAGGGACAGAAAACAGAGCAAGGCAGCATTTGTCACAATACATCAAAGAAATACAAAGCTCATAGGAATTATCTGCAAAGGTGGAGCCAAAACAAGCTGGAGAAAAGGCCTGGACACCCCACCAGTTACCTCCTCAACTCTGATGCATGCAGAGGACACTACAAAGCAGAGGCATCAATTTTTAGGAAACTATTCTTGTAGAGTCAGGAGAGTTTTCAGAAGCAAAGACCATGAACTGAAATTGTTGGGGATTTTTTAATACTTATTTATTAGACTCCTCTTTCTTCGTGTTTATTACATTTAACTCAAGAAATGGTTTAACAAGAACTGATGGCTTTGGTATATTTCAAATATATTGCAAGGAAATATGTATTCCATAAAAAGAATACATTAAAAAGATACCAAAGGACAGTAATGTAGTATTCAACACTTCTTTGTCCCCTTCCTTGGGGAGAAAAGAAACCCAAAATATTTTGAAAGGAATCGGGTTATCTTCCCTAAGATTTAATAATTTCCCGAGGTGCAGATAGATTGCTTTTTTAATTCAGTAATTTAATACGTTCCTGCTGCTTTGTGATAGAAATGGGCATGATGATCCTTCAATTCATGATTGAAGTTCTGTGCCACTTCAATGCTCAGGCTGTACCTGCATCAGGAAATGCAGGTTCAAGTTCACACGCATTAATTTCCAGGGCTGAATCCAAGACCCGAGTCCAGACTGTTCTTTATTCAGTGAACTAGAAAACAGGCCCTAAAATTCCAGAACATTCATCTATGTCTGAATACCACAACAATTTTCCCTATGCAGAAAGAATTGGTTCACACTGAACACAAAAACAGGAACCTGGAAACCGAAATGGATAACCAAGAAATTGCAAAATGGATCTTCTTCCTTCTGTGTGAACCTACTGAGGCCAACAGAGTACCATCAAGGTATAATCTGAATAAACAGAGAGAAGAATCTAGACTCTTGCAACAAGGTTCAGTGAAGCACTACAACAGGTTGACTTTTTACAAGGGCATGTACTGACAGGACAACAGCGAATACTTTTAAACTGAAAGACAGTAGATTTAGATTAGACACATGGAAGAAATTCTCTACTATGGTGTTGGTGAGACAATGGAACAGGCTGCCCAGAGAAGCTGTGGCTGCCTCATCCCCGGAACTGCTCAAGGCCAGGCTGGATGGGGCTTTGAGCACTCTGGTCTAGCGGAAGGTGTCCCTGCCTGTGTCAGGTGGGTTAGATATCAGTGAGCCATAGGATTTTATCCTACGGTCTTCCTGAGCTTTTTCAACTAACCTTACCTTAACATCAATAGAGTTTTATCATGGAAAGACTATAATCTTGTTCCTGCAAAAATGCACTCTGAACTAAAATACTGATTTATTCCAGATGTGCCTCTAGGAAAGCCAAGCATAAACAAGCCAAGCTTAAGTATTTTAAGTATTAGGATTTAGGAGCTAATAATTTTTTAAAACTGAACCTCTGAGAAAATAAATTATTATGAAGTATTATCTACAGTCTGAAAGCTTATTAATGAAATGCAATACACGGAACTGATCCGCTCTGCAATGTCCCCTTTATACAATCTTACCTGTTCTCTGTTAAACTGCATAAATATTGCTTTTTAAAAAAGACTGGTTTTAACCAAATTGCACATAGCTGGGGAACAAAAGCCAGAATATAAAGTTAGTTCAAATCCATGCATTTATAGCATAAGAGGCTTTGACCCCTTGTGGTTTACCTTCAAAGCATCAAAACACTCCTTAGGTAAAAATCTTTTAAGGATTTAAGGCATAATGACCATTTTTATATAGTGTTCTAACTTTTATAGAATTATATTAACAAACCCAAATTATATTATAAAATGTTTAAAAGGAATCATGTTAATTACATTTAATTTTCATACAGATGAAAGTATATAATAGCATATGTAAAAATCAGGATTTCCCCTAAACTTTTGAAGAAAAAGTGTACTGTGCTATAAATATCTCCACTTTGCGGAGGCAAGAATTCTATGCCCTAGAGAAGACAGATATGAAATATGCATTATTAATATGAATACATCTTTGAGACATTTCTCAGAATAAAATCTAAGTAGAAGGGTTGTTTGGGGTTACTGTATTCCAAAGAAGAAATTTTTACTTACACCTAAATTTTATTTTAGGGCCCCAATATTAAATTAACAATCTAAAAAGGCAACCTCGGAAAATAAAATAGGATTTTATCCTACGGTCTTCCTATTTTATTTTATTTTATTTATTTTATTTTATTTATTTTATTTATTTATTTTATTTTATTTATTTTATTTAATCCTATTTTATTTTCGGCACAGCCCTTGAAAATTACAGATGTAACATCTAAAACTGATTTTCAGAACCTGGCATTCTGGGTCATTAAAACAGAAGCTTGCCCTAGCCACTTATCTTATTCATTAAGTAAATGGGAAGGAAAGGAAATGTAGTGGGATTTCTAAAGCCCTGAAAACATGCACCCATTATAATTTATGGCGCTTGATGACTTCACTTAGGAACTTCTGGAAATCTCATTAGAATTGTTTGAATGAATGTGACATTGCAACAGAAAATGGAGATTGAGAGAAAGGGATTCTAAATGTTTCCCTTAATTTAGAGGAATTAAGATCTTTTTAATGGAACGCTAAAAGTACACATATTTTTTGCCCCAGTGCCTACTATTCTTCTTCCAAGCACAAATTTAACACAGAAAAAACACAGCCATCTGGTAAGAAAAAAAAATACAATCTACATTCACCTCCCTGCTTCCCCACCAGTAAAGGTTCCACAGGCCTCCATGCTACACCATTCATGTGGGACTCAAGCAAGTACTTTAATTGCTCCATAGTGAAGGTGATAACTACCGCATAAAAAAGTGACTGCCCTGGATGTGAATGTTTGTAAGTGCCAGGCGCACATGGTACATCTGCCTGCGCTGCCTTCAACCTGGAAGGTTCTGAATCTGTGTTAGGCACCTACTGAGACCAAGCCTTTCAGATCCCTGCTCACAGGCATGACATGAAGGGGCAGATAACGGAACAGATGGGTCTTGAAACACCTCCAGAAGGAGGAAAGGCAGACTTCTGTGACCTACTAAGGAAACACACTGCAAAGTCAAGATGCCTTGAGAGAGAATACTTTGCCAGTGGTTTGAGCCAAGTCTCAAATCACTGCTGACCTCAGCAGGACTAGAGGGCTTTCTTCCTCCTCTGGAAAGAGTGCTTTGAAGCCTCTTTTATGTATTGCCAGCTACAGCTAAACCTAACGCAATTTTCCATCCTCTCAAAAATCAACAGTGAGTAGAGACAGAAATCCAGCAGTCCTTCCTTATAGAAGAAAAAGTGATTATAGTGAATTGTGTAGGAGTAGACAATACATGACTCATGATTCGTTACTGTAGTGTAGCAGGGAGGCAGAGCTAAAGCGAAAGCAGAAAGAACAAAAACAATACTTCCTAAACCAGCAGTTACATTGCTGTTTGTGGTTATGGTCTGCTCAGGGGACATTTTTCACCTTTTTGCCATGCTGGGAGGAACTGCCAAGAAAGCCTTCACAAAATTTTTACATCATGCATGCAACTTATGTTTTAGGTTAAATTACAGCAGAAATTATATAGAAAAAAGAATAAACAACATCCCTGGCTCAAGCAAGCATTAAGGACATACTGAATATGGAGGATAAGCGCATCTCATTGAAGTCATTAAAGTTAAGGACCTTTTAAAGAGCCCTCATCAATCATTGCCATCCAGACAAATCTCTCCTTTTAACGAAACATTTTTCCATTTTGTGGCTGGGTTAAAAAGTCTTTTTAACTGTACTTATGTTCATTCCTGATTTCCTCATGTTGCTCCACAGCAGTTCAGGTGTGCACAGTCCTGTCATGAGATCAGGTCTCAGACCTTGCCAAAAACCTCAGCAGACACAGAATGTGAA